AAATAAAAGAGCACCTAGCCTTTCCTCCTTCCTGGACCATTGCACACCATGCTCCTGTGTGGCCCCTTTCCATGACCCTTGCTCGGCCTGCCAGCTTCACCTCCAGCCCTAGGGAGGTGGTACAGGAACAGATCTTGGAAACAACTTCCAACTTGTCCTAAGGACAAGTAGGTGACAGGGAGTAGTCAGCAGGGATTTACCACAAGGCAGTTCTGCCCTACAGCACATCACATACGAAGCAGGAAGGTTAGCTTACTCGTGTCAAATGAACCTCCCAGGGTCCAGTGCTTGGAGGGTATCCCCTCCCAAGTTCCAGCTGGCCACTCATCCTGACAGAGGACTGCAGTTCAAGCTTTGAGTTCTGAAGCACTGTCAATTTTCTTCTGGTTTCCCAGAATTTCCACCAGTGGCAAACCCTGTTTTACCTTACCTATTGAACCCCCAATGACTGATACTGTACACAGTTTTAGTACCTTCCAAGGGAATGCGGATCCTCCATGGACAAATTGGGTGAACCCACCTAGTACCAGCTGTGTTGTATGCTGTCGCCACGCTCAACATGTCGGGAACCTGCAGAGTCCCACTTGGGTTGCCAAATTGTTACCAAAATGGATTTGCTTGCATTTTCCTTTTCTTCTGGTTCGTGTGCAGGTACCAGAAAGAAGGCAGAAGTAGGCATTAGCTAAAAGCCCTTTGTTATTGCCAGCAATAAAGGTGGCTCTTGGCTGGGAGCAGGAGCAGGATCCTGTGTTATAACTCTTGATTCCTTTTAAGCAATCTGAAGACTATTCACATACTCATTTTTACAATGACATTGCCTGCTGATGGAAAGTAGAAAATAATTTTTTTGTTTTCCTTTGCTGCCGCACATAGCCATTGCTTTTTCTTTACTAAATTGCCTTTATCTCAACTCACAAGTCTCTTTTTTCTCTCATCTTATTTTCTCCTTCCCTGTTGTGCTGAGGACGGGGAGTGCTAGAGCACCTAGGTGGGCACCTGGCAGCCAGCCAAAGTCAACCTACCACACAGTGAAAGGACAAGGGGTCATGGTTTTAAACTGAAAGAGAGTAGATTTAGACTGGACAAACTTTTTTTTTTTTTTTTTAAAAAAAAGAGGCACTGGCACAGGTTGCCCAGAGAAGCTGTGGATGCCCCATCAGTGGCAGTGCTCAAGGTCAGCTTGGATGGGGCTTTGAGCAACATGATCTACTGCAAGATGTCCCCGCCCATGGCAGGGGGGTTGGAACTAGACAATCTTTGAAGGTCCCTTCCAACTCAAAGCATTCTATGATTCTGTGATGGAGAAAAGTGTTTTACTGTCCCTAGTTACAGCACTAACATGTTCCCTCACCTCAAAGGCAGCAGTATTCAAACACTTGACAGCAAGACACACAATTAGATTGTGTTTGCACACAGCAATGATTCCAGAAGCATCAGAGACAGGGTCAGAGGGTCTTTCCCAAAGCATCTGCAACACAAGCAAGTGTTAAAATAACAAAAATCAAACCTTAGTAACTGTTAACGGATTCTCACTTGCAGTCTGCAATACTAAAATTTGCTATTTAACTCAGCGTGGAGTAGTGGTGCATGTACTAAGACCAATAATAATACCATAAGAGCCAAAACATGAAGAAATCTATTACAGGCAGATGTAGAATTGTGCAGAACATAGAAGCAACAATGAGACATTCTCGGGGCAAAATGGAAACACAAAACACCTCGTGAGATATGATCAGAAACAGAAAGCCAGAGTTGGAAGTGGCATGCCAAAAAAGCGAGGATGAGGCCAAAAAAGGAGGAATTGAAGTAGTTGAGATGAGAGACAGCCAGGCAGAAGCGGGACAAAGCAGTATTTCATAGCCCCAGTGCAATAAACACCGGTTATTTGGAACAGTAACTATGCGACACGTTCAGAACAACATTCATGCTGTTTTCTTTGCAGTAGTTAAAAACAACATTTTTGCTGTACTGTTATGTTTGAGAAAATACTGCCTGTTTTTAAGAACTGCCACTTGCCTTCCACTCCCAGAGCCAGTGGGGAGTTAACCACTGTGTTCCCAGTCTAAGAGACAACCTCAAGTCAAACAATCTGCACACACACCAAGAAGTTTCCAAATCACCTAGGCTAGCCGCTGTGTATTTTGGACATCAGTCACAAAATTACAACATTTGACAAGTATTTCACTTGCTGCTAAAACAGCTCCAATGCTACTTCCACCTTTAAACTGTGGAGCTAAATCATTTGACGAGTTCCCATTACAAATCTATACAGACCTGATTCCACAAAAGCTGTGTTCTGGTGTCCTGACTATTGAACCTACTCCAGAGCTGTGGAAAAACAAATGATAGCCTTTTTATGTGGCTACTCATACTTAAGTTTAAGAAGAAACCGGGAGATGCCCCTGAACCAGTTTTCTGCTGACATATTTGGCATTAAGCTTTCCACGTTTGCTATGCCTTTGCTGCTGATGCCAACATCATAATTAATTTACAGCACGTTAAGGTCAGATTCTGCTGAAAACTTACGACACCAGTTATTCTTAAAAGCAGCCCCAGCCCTTCAGGCGGGCTTTGCTGCCATCCGAATACAGTGCTCAACGCATGCACACAAAACTTTCCACCTAGCAAAGCACACGCATGACTAAACCAAATATTCTGTAATACATTATGAGTGCATTAATGCTTACTCAAGTGTACTTGCCAAGTCATCATCTTTCATAACAAGCTGACCAGGATGTGGTTTAATCGCATTAAGTCACCAAACTATCGAAGACAATTTGACATGGCTGAAGGCGATATGCCATTTTTCCAGACAGGTTTCACGGTCAACTTAGCAGAGGGCTATACCATACCAAGGGTTAGCGACAGGTTCCCTAACCGGTATATTAAAGCTTAAAAATTCACCTAAAAGCAGCAGATACAAAGTGTGTTCATATATGGTGAATTACCATTCAATTGTGAGTTAAAGTTTCAGCACTGTTTTGTACTTCAGGAAGAAAACACAGGAAAACATGAAGAAAAGTCACAGCAAATTATGTCTAAGAGATGCCTGGTTTTAAACTGCATCCATTAAATAACGCTTTTACAAAAAGCTACAAAGAATTTAAGTCTCACAGTTTAAGATAAGATGGGGGAAGAGCACACCTTGTTCGCCTCTAATGTAAATTATTTCAAGCAAAAGAAACTACAGGATACTGTGTGCCTTTTTCTGTAGAAGCCCAAAGCACGTAGCATTGATGCTTCACAAAGTAAAGCAAAGTTGTGTCATTATCAACTGAAAGCACAACATAAGGAGCTGTATGATGCAGAAACAACACTGCCAGTTTTCACAGCAAAGATCTTCTTCCTTGCAGGGTTTTACAAAGGATATGATCTGACTAAACACTCTTCAGTACATATAAACAACCCTGACAGTTTTTCTCCTCCCTCATGTAAGCACACTGAAGACAAGACTATAGCTAGTTCCACGCCTGCAAAAACCACTTTGCTTAGAAAAAAGAAAATCTCCTTCCAGTTCCAAGTTAAATACTTACCACTTAGATATTTTTCCTATAACATATGGAATTATTCTTATCGACAATTTCTCAGCATAAATATTTAAGATTTCTAGTTATCTATCTCTAAACAGGAAATAACTATAACATCAATTAATCAAGAAATATTAAAAAAATAAATTAAGAAAACGGCTATTTCTATGGCTGTAAATGCAACAACATAGAATTTGATACTAGGAAACTTTCAAACTGGACATCATAAAGGAAGCCTTCCATCCCACCAGTGTCACAGGCCTCAAAAAATCACAGGCGCTTCAAGCACAACATGGTACCGTTTTGTCACAGAAGTGCACAAACTACCCGAACCAAGGAAAAACGTAAACAAACTTTATTAACCAACAGAAACTAATAGAAAACAGAGACAATCCCAGAACCAATCAGCACTCCGATAACATTTGAAACAAAACACAACTACAGGTCTGTCATGCCAGTTGAGGTCTTATTACTACACAGTGACACATGAAAAATGATGCGCACACACACACACACGCATTCTCAAAAATGGGAAACTCTCTCAAGGGTACCCAGCAGAATTAATCGCTTGCCCAAAGGGGCAAGGCTTCACTCAAGGATGTATCCAGAAGAAAACTATCACTCGCCAGGGGTAGGTGAGGGCACTCAATTCCAGGAAGTTTCCTCAAATGGCATCCTGATCAGAGGGGAGAGGTTCTGTTCACAGTCCTGCTGCTCTGAGAAAAACACTCAGAGGGGGGTCTTTGGTGGGGGCTCCATTTATACCCTGGTTGGATCTGACTCATGGTCTTATTTGGGTATGGTCCAGAACCTTCTCTGGCCTAGGGCACCCCACCAGCTGGGGACCCTTAACTGTTGGCCAGGGGGTCCCACCTCCCACGCTTCCCTGCCTGTGTGGCATACATGACCGTGGGCATCAAACCCCAGCAGGCATGTGAGGGTCAGCACCTGCCCAAAGCGTGTACATGATGACCACCGCAGTGGGGCACAGAAGGCGTGAAAAGTAAAGGTGCAAAAGAGCCTGCTGCTGCCACGCTGGAAGCCCTGGTCTTTGTTGTGGTAGGTGTATCTGCCACAGGTTTATGATGGAAAGCTACCTCTGAAAGCTGAACTGAAAGTTCAATTTTATACTGGATTCCTTATTATTTTAAACACAAACAAATCAGTGAACAAAGAAAATGAGAGGTTAAGAGTTTAAATGCAGAGATTTATATATATTCTTAAAAAACATACAACAAGAATTCTTAAAAAATGTAATATGAACTTTATTGCATATATCATTCCATAATCATTTGGAGATATGAGAATAAATACAACAAACCCTTTAAGTTACCAAAGGTGCAAGATATAAATCTTAACAGAATTGTCTGTCAAAGTGACATAAGTCATCTTGGACATTACCGAACCATTTGATTTCAAATTCTGTGGCTGATGCAGTTACCAATGACAACAGCGCTGAAGGGCCTATGCATTTTACCTCACCCTGAAATTCCTCTTTTAGTTTTTCTGGTATAAGATCCTGCCCCATAACCTGCAAACAGAGTAAGAAAGAAGATGTAAAACAAGAAAATAACTTGCAGAGAAAACAGCAATTACGACATTAATAACAGATCTCTACAAAAAGAAAAGCCCTTGACACATGAACCACATGCCACCCAGGAGAAGTTTCCAAGTCACGATCAAGTTGTCTGCCTGCTGCATTCTGCGATAAACATGGAGAACCAAGACCCGAAGCTTCACAGCTGCACATCCCCACTCAACTTCTGGTTACGCTTTTACAGAGGGATTTTTACTCTCCAAGTAGCAGAGGAAGTCTCCACGCCAACTCTGTATTCAGTGCTCACCTTGCAACAGCACCAACACTCCAATCTCCTCCTGGGCGATGTCGGACCAGGGGAAGCAAGGAGAGAAGTTTCTTTTCCCAACCTTTTCAAGTCGTGAGATTGTCTGCATGGTACTGCCCTCTTACGGATGAAATCCCACAAGACCGTCTGCCAACCTGGCAACGGCTTGGCTTTCACTAACTTAAAGCTGTAATACTGACAGCAAAGCTAGAATCTCACTGGTTTCCTTTTGTTCCTTAAGATAAAAGTCAGACACTCCATAAATAGCACTAAAAATGTTTAATAGCTATGAATAAAGTCATGCAATGTTACTCTCCTCCTTTGTATTTCTTTAAAACTAGAACCCAGTACAAACAGAATAAAAAAAAATCATGTAAAAGGATGTCTCTGGCTTTTTTTGAAAATGTTTAATACTTTTTCTGGAAGCGTTTAATACTGCTGTGGCCATCAAAGCAATCTCCACTTCCATTTCATACTTGTGATTCACTTTGTGGCATTTAAAATTCCTAAGATAAAATCTGCATCTCAGGAAATATATTTGCAGATGCATCATCGCCGTGCAAGTCCAATGAGAAACTTCACAACCCTGAACATTCCCAAAAGGAGAATCTCAGCAGAACAGAGATACACCTGCATGACACAAGCCAGCACTACACAGGTATCACTGTCAGTTCCAGATAACACACTACCAGGGCAACCCACCCCAGCTAATTTACCTTGCTTCCTGGCACGGTTAATTACCTCAGGGGAGTGTTACGCTTACAGGACTTTGTGCCTGAACTGGCTCAGGTACCTCAACCAGCCTATGTACAGCTGAGAACTTGCACACAATGAAACATCCCCTTACCTTGGTCACCAACAGCAAGGAGTTTTCGTCAAAACCAAGTTGTGCCACTTTGTCATCAATTTCTTTTTGACCTTTTATGTTATTCTCCAGTGCAAAGGATGACTGTTGCGACTGGGTAAGCTGAAGTAAAAGCCTGAAATTAAAGAGGCAGTTAAAAAAAGGCACACCTGGCAAAAGAGTAAGTCAGCAAACCTAAAACCAACCAAAATGTAATACTTTAAAACAGCTCTTCTTACTGACTTTTGCTGACTGCAAAAACTGCGTAGAAATTAATACATCTGTATCAATCTACTATGAGTATGGTATATCTGTGCTATGACAGAAGTAGTGAGAAATACTTTTGAAAAACAACATGCCAAGTATCTCTGGTTTCTCTGTCCAACATTTTCTCCCCATGCATTCATCACACAATTCAAAAGTGAAGCTCGGATCAGCTAGCACTAACTGCAGTACCTCAGGCATCCCACAGCCCTATTAAGGCCTAATAAGACAGCAGCACATTTTTGCCTATGGCAGCGATTATCTTTGTCACCTGAAAAGCCAGAAATTTGGGGGTTTTAGACAAATATCAAACATCCTCCCCACAGAGGCCAACCCTGATATATTTTCTAAAATCTTTCACCATAGTTTTATGTTTAAGGCAATGCCCCAGAAGTCACCACCATGATTTAGTGAAGGTTAGATTTTGTGCTGACAACATGGCTTCATGTCATGGAGGGACTCCATCACCAACTGCTCGACCAGAGAGAACAGTGGCAGCTTCCAGAGTCCTCCTCACACAAGGACTGTAAAACGTGTCAGCAGAGGAAGTATCCAAGTATATTCAAACAAGGGACCACTAGGACTTAGCAGTATTGTAACTGAAATTATGTTTAATTCAATCTTTATGCATAAAGAACAATAACAAATTTTATCACATTTACTGAAGTTAAATGAAGCACGTGTTATAATAAAGGTGTGTATTTTTATGAAGAGAAGACTTAAGTAACATCTTGGATTAAAGTTCTCATTTGAGCATTATAAACATCAAAATTTACAAGACTGAGCCAACAAGCCATTTGTAAATTCAGTAAACCTTTGATCAGGAAATTCAAAGTAAAAATGGAAAGTATTTTGAATTTGTAAAGTGGTTTTGTTTCAAAATTTGCATCAACATGACGCAAGAAAGATTAAAATCTCAATGAAAATTAAACAAAACCATTTCTCCAATTGTTTTTTTGTTGGCAAAACTAGAATTATTCATGATGTTTTAAGACAGAACCTTATTTCCTACAAAAAGCAATACTAATATCCCTTTTCCAGGTGCAATTTACCCTGCACATACGTTTATGCAACATACACATCTCACTTAAAATTCAACAGACCTGAAACTATTAGACAACCTATTTAATGCATGAGCCCTGGACAGGGGAAAAGCTTACCCTGGACAAGAGTATCTGCAAATACAAACCACAATAACACTTTGTGAAACCGTGCAGCCAAGCAAGGAAATCCCACAATTTATAATTGCCTCAATGCTGAACCATACACACTGAAACAAGCAACAGAAGTTATTTTAATATGAAAGTAGCTTTAATGTTCAATATCAGTACTAAATCTATTAACTCCTCCCAAGTAGCAATTAAGTCACCATTTCTCAGTCCAAGTACAATTAAAACCTACTACACCTTTTTTACATTTCTTAAATCTTGCCTTAACAGGGCAGTTATAAAGTGCTCTCTGTAGACATTTGCAGAAGTTCATAAAGTGGCTTTAAATACGTTTGGTGACTAATAGATTACCGAGAGGCAAGAGGGGAAAAAAGAATACTAGACTATTTTAACAAAACCAGTTCCTGATCATCTCTTTGAAAGACTACGTTTTGGGGATTTTTGTTGTGTGCAAGAGTTTTAGGAAGAGAGGGAACAAAAGGAAAGAGCATTTTAATGAAGCCCTGTCAATCAGCTGTCACAGAGCAGCAGTTTCAACCTCATCCATTATGCAGATTGGGGTATTATTACAAAATACATTTTCGCTCAAGCATGAGGCTTCAAGCAAATAAGACAGGTGGCTCTCGCCTAAGGAAGATTGGCCAGCCCTCCCTTTGGGGTACTTCTGCTGCTGCATCTTTAATACCAAACCAGAAAACAGCCATGCTCTAACAGGAGCATTTGCTAAAGAACAAGTCCTTTTCTATATAATTATATGAATCTTTTCAAGTAATAAGGTCATTAAAAAACCCTTTTCTTCTCAACAGTGCATGACACTGGTTTGCTCTTTCCACTCAGATGCAGGTTGTTCACAGCTACCATGCTAGTGGATTTTGCTTTTTAGATCTGAAGCAATAGTAGGGTGCGTTGCCAATGCTGAAACAAACACTTAAATTAAAAATGTAAACTGAAAATATTAAGGCTGGGAAAAAATATACTTTACATTGTTCTTGACTGGGAGAAGTTAACATTATTCTAAGAATGCATTTAGTTACCTTGCTCTAATAAAAGAGGCACATGCCTTTATCCCAACTTTCTTTGATGTGTTCTGCTCCCAGGACTCAGAGGCTGCGCATTTCCCTTCATCCATCCTTTCCGGTTCTTCCAAAGTGCAGAGGAATTCTTTTACAGCTTGGCAGCTGCCGCTACAAATCACTCCATTCTCTCTCTTTGTTTCTGAAGCAAGGCTGGACCAAAGGCCCTCTTTCTGGCTGTCTGATTTGTGACGCTGCAAATCAATCTCTCTTCCAGTTGATGTTTTGAAACTATTATCACTTACATTAACCTCTTCAGACTGTTTTAGATTTGTTTCTGGAATGACTAACAGAGACAAACTCTGTAAAAGGCTCATATAAGCTTCAGCAAGTAACTTCCAGTACCAAGGGTTGAAAGGATGTAAGCAGATCAGTTGCTGAAGACAGGTGATCTTTTTTTCTACATTTTCCAGACCCTGGTAAATGGCAAACTGCAGGTTGAGAACCGTCGTTAAGTGATCTGTGTTAGTAGCGCCATTTCTCTAGAAACAAAAGACAACAGATTAAAAACAGGAGTAGAACGGAATCATCCTTCAGAGCCTAAGAAAATGTCTCTCTGAATAACGACACACAAATATCACTAAAGGTAATTTTTAAATTGTACCAAACTGTGCTCTTCATTTTAAATGATACGTGATACAGATCATACATGACCAAGCTGACAGCACTCCCTCCAGCTGCCTTGTCCCAGTCTGAAAGGCAAGAACGCCCCAAATGCTGTCATTTGTTTATTTGCCTTCAGAGTTTTATACAGCTGCCCTTCTTTGTAGTATAAACATCTTTTATATAAAATAAACAGCAGCAGTAAAATTCTAGCAGACTTCAGAGCCTCTGGACTTTTTCCTTTATGGGAAAAACTCAATTTGTGGTTAGATACTCTTCTTGGTGGAAGTTTGGCAGTGATTATATGGAAATAAAAGGGAGTTTTGAATCGTCACTTTTATAGTGGAAAGATTTAGGCACTCATTTATCCCCTTTCTTATAATTCCTATTACATTACATTAATTCTGCCTGGCAGAGCATGATATTTAGTCCCTTTCAGGACTACCAGCCTCCCTGCACAGGGAGCTCATTGTGGTACAGGGTGTTCTGATTTCTAAAGAGTGATTATATCTGCAGTGACAGTTACCCTCTGTTTACCAAATACTCTGAGCCCTGAACATCCTGAAGGATTATACACATGAAGATTATTTTTCCAGAAAATGGTCCATATAAAAAAACACTACTGGCAATATTTTAATGTTCAAAGACTAAAAGAAAAAAAAAACACCATTCTTTACCATTTTTTCTGCAATATCCAGAGCCTCCTTGTGCCTTCCTAAGTGAAATAAACACCGAGCCTGGCCCTCTTGGACATCTCGTCTCATTGCAATGTTACTGGGAGGTAAGAGTAGTAAGCAGTTTGAGTATTCACACAGGGCTTTCTAGTAGTGTCGACAAAAAGAAAAGTCAAAGAAAACAGTGAGAGATTTTCATTTAAAAGCAAGCCTGACGGTATGTTTTGTTTATGACTACAGTCACAAATGGAATTCAGGAGCCAAAGTCCACATTTTCACTTCTCCAGACTCAGCCACCACCTATGCCAGCAGCAGACAAGGGCCCCGGTACTACACAGCCATGTCTAGACGGCAATGAGCAATCTCAATCCTAACTTGTGCTTAAACCCTGGCAGGATTCACCACACATCTGTCTACCTCACCCTCACCAGGTCTGATCCAGAAGGGATCATCTACTGACCTAGGCAATATGTGACACAAGTCACCTTCCCCCCCAGCTAACAACTCAATGATCAGAGAATTCATCTTAGATTTGGGGGACCTTGTTTCAAATCCATTACATTCTCCACAGGAAGGTTTGAACCTGCAAGTATCTCACCTCCCATGAATAATCAGCAAGTCAGAGAATACTGTAAGGAAGGTGACTATCCATCATTCCTGCAGGGTGGTTCTAATTTGCATGAAACAATTAAATATTAATTGGGCGAAGGAAAAAGACAAGAATGAGCACTACTTCCGTAGCTTAATGTTCAGGGCGCTCACCAGGACTCCAATTAACATTTAAATACATTATATTAAGTATTCAGTGAAGCTAAGACTGGAATCTTGGTTCCTCCCCCTTCATGTAAGTGCTCAGACCAGAAGACTAAAAAGCAGTGCTCATCCTCTCATTTCTCAAAATGAATATTTAATTATTCCTTGCGAACTTGAATGGTTCTAACAGAAACAGCTTCCAGGCAACATATCCTAAATAGTTTCTAGCAAAATGGCTGACATACTTTACTTCTCTGGTGTTAAGTTCACATTCCTTCTCAAGCAAAAAGAGGGAGCTCCCCTCTGCCCGGTGAGGGCAGCAGCAACTGGTGAAAAGGGATCAGAGGAGGGTTGCAGGACATCCCTGTTCACCTTGTTACGTGACAAAGGGATATAACCTGGCAAGGATCAGGCATTAAGAATCCCAAGCAAGTTCTACAGTCACTTATATCCTAGAAATGGGCACAGCTTAGATTACTGCTGTCCTGGGCATTTCCTATCAAGTGGCCTAGGCCACAAGTGAAGAGATTAATTACTACTCCCATTTACTTATGTCCAGCCCCCCTTTCTAAGGTTAGTGGTCTCAAATCTGTAATCTTATGTGCAGTCTAGTTCTGGTTCTGTCACTGTGATCCAGGTTAGCAATAAGACTGAAGACTAAACATCTTTAACATGGATCACTGCGACAGAAAAGGGTTAGGAAGCAACAGTCTGTTCCACTAGCAGATCTGAGCGGGTGCCATTCTCTCCTGAGAGGGCACCACAGCATATAGCAAAGAGCAATCTGCTCTTCCTGAAGGTCAGCCGCCATGCCTGACCACAGCCTAAGGCATCTTTCTTCTCAGCACACTTTTATGAATCCCTTCAGGGCATCTCAGCTGAGACTGGAAAGCATCTGTCAGATATAGACAAGGCAGCAGTAATGCTGGAAGAACATTTAAAAGCAGAAGTCAGGGTCAACTGAGGTACAAAAAGATCCACAAATCCAATGGGCAAGGCGAAAGGAGTGGATTCAGAAGTCAGCCTGAGGGCTCTGAAATCAGGGAGCCTGTAATGCAAACCATAGCCTGGAACAAGAAGCTATTACAGTTGAAATAAGGGATCAAGCAGCTGATTTCAACCAGGAAACAAGGTAACAAAAGACTGCATCCTGCAACTAGGACTACAGAGGCAGGAGAGCATCAATCATCAGGAATGCAGCTCAGGAAGTAGGCAGTGAGGACAGGGTCTAGGACTACAGCAGGCAGGAACAGAAACAGGGAACACAAATGCACCCCAAAGGCACAACAAGCCATCCAGAGCAAGGACAAGCAGCAAAGAAGTGGGACAATTAATGATGAGGCTCATAAGCCAACTGTCAGGAGACTGACAACTACAGTCAGCTTGCACCTGACAGTGGAGGGAGCTCTGAGAAAGGTGAGTGGCAGCCAGGTGGTTGCCAGCAAACTGACAGCCTTCGTGGGACACGGTATTATCCCCAGGAACAGAGAAATCCACACGTTTAACTCGGTCTGACCATGACTTTCATGGGCACAAATACCAGCTCTGCCCATTACTGAACTGCTCAGATGCATGAGCTTGATCCGAATCAGCTCCGGGCGCAGAGCAGCATTTCTGACCAGTTTACACTGACTTCATGCTGACTCCTGGAAAGACGGCATCTGGCTGGGGGAGCTTCCCAGAACACAGTAACCCATGATGGCCTGACTGCAGCGCAGCCAGCAGGATGGCTCTGTGATAAGTAAAACCCTGAGTCTGTTTGTTAATCAAATCTTGCTTGTATAGGACATATGGAAAGTTTTAAATCGCTGATGTATACCCACAAACATTGTGTAAGATAAGTTGGGAATGGTTAACTTTGCTCAGGAAATCGCTTGCAAGTGTTGAGACATTCTTTAGTTATCTAAAGACATGTGGGGTAAGGACAATCAAATACCTGATAGAATAAACAACTGAGTAATGGCTAAAAGAAAGGTGGTTTCGCAAGAGCATGAGTGGGACTTCGGCCTTCATCCCAGCGACCCCCAGGAGGCAGACTACGACCACCTAAGCACACACACAACGCAAACGATATCAGCCAACACAGGAACTAGGAGACTGTATAAATAAGGGAACCCTTCTCCATTTTGTGCGCGCCATTGGAAGAGCAGAAGCTCCCCGGCCGCCCAGCGCTGTTTTGCTTTCTGCTGCTTGCTCAATAAATCGATTTAAATAATCGGACTGGACCGCAATTTATAACAGCTCTTCACCAGGTCACCGCAACCGCCCACGGGGCTGTCATGCTTTCAGCACAAACGAGGAGCCATCAAGCTGGATGTCACCACACCACAGACTCTAGCACCTCCAGGCCGGGGTTCAGCCAGGAGGCTTCTATATAAATATACATACACACTCCCTCAGCACACCAGGGACTACAGGATCACCCCAGTTTATATCCCCACAACT